TGCACTCCCAAAGAGTACCCAGCCTGAGGTCCGATTTTCAGGCTGGCATAGTCACTGACAGCAGCAGGGCCAGGAGATACTTGGTCAGGGGAGTTGTTTTTGCTCATCTGCCTCAACACTCCCAGGTTCTCCCAGTCTATGACACCTTCCTATTTCCTCCCTCAGGCTTAAAGTCAGCGACTTGTCCTTACATCAGTGACTCAGTACTCTCATGCCCTAACTCCAAAGGCCAGAGCATAATCCCAGTGACTGGATTGGTACTGACTGGTCATGAGTTTTCCAAGACCTGTTTTTTGATACCAAAAAAGTGCTGTGAGTACAGGAACTTTCTCTATCTTGTTTGCCACTGTACCTCATCACATAGAAATATTCCTGGTGCGCTTAGCAAATATTTTGTCAGTGAATGAACAAAAGAATACATGGATATGTGAGTAAGTTTTCCTAAAGTTGAATATGTTCATTTTCAGAACAAAAACTTGTCCTCTTTTGTCCTTCCTACATTTTTGCCTTTATGATGTGTTTATTTTCTAAGATATATAAAACAAAAATTATTAGGGAGATTTTTGGAAAACGGGAAATATTAAACAACCTGATGTCAATTCCCAAAATTCTTGCACTGGTTCTTAAAGTTAAAATCTTGAAATCACTGCCCCAAAGTATGTTCTTTATTGATATTGCCTTGTCTCTTGTAATGTTAACCTTTTTCTTCATAAAATTTGCCTTGGAAGGTAATAAGAGGTTAGTTCATATAAACCAAAGTGGAAAACATAATTCAGATTCAGAATCATCAGTGCTGTTGAACAGCCACCTGGTGCCAGGCCCTGGGTGCTGCACATTCACATGCAGTTCTATGAAGGTCCTGAAAGGCTTGTGTTATTTCCCTTTTTAAAAAAAAAAAAAGATTTACTTATTTATACAAGAACCAGGGAACAGGCCAGATGTGTGGAAGGGTGAGAGGATTCACCAGAGACAGAGTGGGGAACAGAACAGGCAGACTGAAGAAATACACTGCTGAGGGGAGCAGCAGGTGAGACAGGAGAGGTCTGCCGTGCGGGTATGGGATTCTCACCAGCCAGCTGGGATCAAATCCACACTGCAGAGGCTGTGGACAGCTTCACAGTGCAGCGCTCAACTGCCTGCGCCACCAGGGAGGCCTTATTTTCCCTTTTATAGATGAGGTAACACATGAGCTGCATTTGGGACAGTCTGATTCTCCCACAGACAGTGTAGATCTAGATGGCTGAAGAGGTTCAGGAGAGGTTGATGGAAGACATAGGATGGAGCTGAAACTTGCTGGCCAAGGGTGATTTTTCTGGAAAGAGAATGACCTCATGGTAAGAGTGAAGATGAGGAGGAATGAAAGCATGTAGTTTGGAACAGAGTCCAAGCTGACGTGAATGGAAAATGAGCAGCAGATAGGAAAATTGTAATGATGATTGAACAAAACTATCATTTTGCAGGTCTTTGGTATGTTCTGAGGCATGCTAACTTCTCAGCTTCCCATGTAAGTAGTCTATACCCTGACAGACATATTTGTCCCTTTGAATTTGTTTATTTGACTCTTTTCAGCTCCATCTGATGTTGATTGGGAAGGTTCCAGAAGCTAGATGATGGTACTCTCAACTGCTAGAAATATTTTCTTATAAGAAAGATCCCTTTCACACCTTAGTCCACAATCTCATGGATCTTTAAGCATAATCAGTCAATGACCCTGTGGCTGAGTGTGCAGTGCATTCTGAGTTTTCTATAAGAGCCCAGACAATTTAACAATTGAGTTAAAAGTTTCCAAGAGGAGCAGAAGCCTATCCTACTACAAGGTCCCAGTCCCATTAATGCAACCTTTTGGTTGGTATAAAAATTGTATGGCACTAATTTCATTATTAAGTCCTATTTATTGCCATTGGTGATAACCTACGGATCTAAGATATGTTCATTGGTGTTAACTGAGTCTTCTCATCTGAACAGTAAAAAGTTGATAACCTTGACAATATGTATATATGTAAAATACCTAGTTTAATGCCATGTGGTAGATATTCAATTAATCATAGTCACTGTTGACTCTCATTATTTGTAATTCCATATTTGCAAATTCTCCTAAATTCATTTGTAATCCCCAAATCAATATTCTTGGCACTTTCATGATCATTTGTAGACATGGGCAGAACAATGAAAATTCCCCTGACATACACATTGGCAGCTGAAGTCAAACAAAGTGATGTTCTGCTGTCTTGTTCAGCTGTCATACTGTAAAGAAGAGTTCTTGGTCAATTTGGTGTGACATGTTGTGCTTTTTGTTAGGTATTTTCTGTTTAAAATGGCTCCCTAATAAAGTGATAAAGTGCTTTCCAGTCTTTCTAAGTGCATACAAGAAGCACCATATAGACGAACTGTGTGTTAGGGAAGCTTCGTTCAGGCTTAAGTCACGGTGCTAATGACTGGGGCCATGATTTTCCATCTCTAGTAATCCCACCTTCCCTGGACCTGGCTCCTCCACCCATAAATGAGTTTTCTGGAATCTTGGACTATCTCTTCCTGGCATTTGCAAAAAGGCCATACCATAACAGAGCTGGTTACATCATTTAGATTCTGCCTCTGAGACTCTTGCCTCAGGTCCAAACTCCCAGTCCAGGACAGTTCCTCCAAACCCCATCCTGACTCCTTCACACAGGTTATTGCCTAACCCTCACTCACTAGCCTCCCTGCCAACTCAGACAGCCGTAGTCCCATCATGTCTCAGGCTTGAGCCTGCCCAGGCTCTTAGGAATTCAAGGTCAATAAAAGCAATGGTATTGCATGTTTTTTTCTTCCCGGAAAATATTTACTACCAATAAAGAATGAAATTTCTCTGAGATTCATGGAATGTGAGGTAGATGGCTTTATGTAGAAACCATTCTGGAAGCATTAAGGTAATAATAGAAGATAAATCTGCACCCAGAATCCATGGCTGATATTACAAGGGACTAGGCCTTGGAAGAAAGAATTATCAAGAAGCTCACAGGATCTTTAGAAAATAGGTCAGACCTGCCATCCTTATCCCCACTGTGCCAGGAGGACACTAAAAATGCAAGATCGAGTCTGTGGAAGGACACAACAGATACACTATAATTGTGGGAATCAAGATTTGGGGTCTCAGAAGGTGGAGCAGTGCCATGACTTCAGGAACACCACCAAGAGTCAGGGTTAGGCTGCAGAATAACATTGTTCCAGGAGTTCTGGTGTGAGGGAGGCCAGGGATGCGATGGAGAGATTTGCTTCACTGCTCGCACCTCCCTCTCCTGCTTTTCCCTAGGAAGGTTGGCAAAGACAAAGCAGGAGGCAACGCTGCTAGCATCCTAGGGCAGGGCAGGCCTTCTCCAGCACAGGTTAAACGTAGAGACCTGGCATAAGAGGATCAGTTGTAGTAGGCAGTCTGGTTGCCACAGGGGCCCTTAAAGGCAACCCTACCTGACAAAATTCCTTATATCTTTGAATCTCTCTTTGACCCTCACAATAGCTTCTTCCAAGCTTTTGTTGGAATGTAGGTGAGAGCAACTAGACTGGTGCAATATAGTCAGTGTGTTTGGGAGAGGCAGCTTGCCCATGACTAGAAGCTCACTGGGATAGGAAACAGTAAGGAGAAGGGCTAATATGAGTCCGCATGATAACTGCCAAAGCTGATTGTGTTACTTGTTCTAAAAGAGGAACATATCTACAAATCACACCTACGGTGCTCAAGTTCACATTATTTCTTAATGCAATTAAAAAGGGGTAACAATTATGAAAACATATAGTATAATAATAAATACAGGGTATTGAGACTATTTAAAAACTACTCATAAAAATAGGCTTTATAGCTCCATTTTATGAAGAGGTGCTACAGTATTTTGTATACATTATCTTATTTAATCCTTCCCACAACAGTAAGAGATAGGTACTATTATTATTTGCATTCTATAAAAGCGAAAACCATGCCCACGAAATCTAACCAACGCCTCACAGCAAACTACTACGAGACAGAACTTGTGGTCAAGTCCACATCTGTTTCCATCTTTATTCTAAAGACATGCTTCCCCCAAAGACTGAAAACACTGCTGTGTCTTTGTTTGCATTGTCTGAGTTGAGTTATTTCTTCATTCATTGTCTGCAGAGGTTAGTCCTGCATCACCAGCTCTGGTCTTTCCTGTCAGTCAAAGACTGCCTCTGGGGTATCTTGAGGAGCCTGATTCTAGAGGAGGGCTCCCTACCAAGCAATAAGCCCCCAACCACCTCCTTCCTTCAAGTGCTGGGCCTTATCTGACAACCCTCACATTCCTGCTTAGTGCCTCAAGCAGGACACATTCCTGACTGGGTGGAGGGAAGAATTCCTAGCATTCTTCAGCCTCTGTCTTTCCAGGAGCTTCTAATCTCCAGTGGGATGGAGGAAAAAAGCCCTTAATTTGTCTAATATTTGGAAGTAATCTAAATTAAATCCTATTCTCCAAGTCTTGAGAAGGGGTGATAAAATGGAGGAGGGCAGGAATTCAGGACCTTTGAGATATGTACTTCTCCTCATACCATGTTTCAGTCCTATGGAATCAGGAACTCACAACTTTTTCTCAATAGTCTGTAAGATCTGTGAGATCCTTGGCTGACAGTCTGTATTGTTTGCCATTCTTACATATCATTGCATCCTAGTATATCAGTTAAGCTTTGTAAATAGAGCAATCTACATATTTCTATGAACATTACCTCTCTGCAACAATAGCACACATTACTTTTATAAGTGAATTTTATCACGTTTATCACATACATTATCTCACTTTATCACCACAAAAAATCTCTACGGTTGGTACTATTATTTCTAGTCCATAGAGGAGAAATATGAACAGCAGACTGGGGTAATTTGCCTGCTGTCAAACAGCTGGCAAGGCAGAGGTCTTCTGACTTCCCTCTATTTTTCGCTCAGGGTCCCCCATTATGGCATCACAGATGCTACAAGGTGGTGACTGGGAATCTGCCCAGTTAATGGGTAACATCTGATTCTCCCTCCCAGAGAGACACTCTAGTGAGAGACTGTGAGTTTGGCAGGTCCAGACTAGGGTAGCACTGGGAAGCTGGCTAAAGCACAAATCCAGATGTCCATGGAGCAGGAAAGTGTGAAACAGGAAAAGTGATCTAGCATCTTGAGGAGCCATGCCAACCACCAAACCAGTGATTCTCAAGGTATGGAATACAGCCAACTGGTAGGGCCACAAGCATCCTCTGATGTTCCACATACTCATCCAAGGTACCAGTCTTTTCTTTGGAACTCACTAGCAAATGGCCCTTGATGCCCTAGGTTTTCACTGTGTGCATGCATGCATGTGTGTTTATGTGTGTGTGTGTGTGCGCATGTACACACACATAAGTTATTTACTAATAACTACTGAGTTTTTAAGAGTTAGTAGTACTTGGTAAAATATTTGGCACATAACTAAATTTACTGAAGGCTTAACTGGCTGCCAGACCATACTTGGCCTTGTCTACAAGGTTCCCACTATGAACATGCATAGGCAGGTTGTTGAACTACCCTCAGTTTTGGGGAAGATTGCTTTCTGTATTATTATCAGTGGTGTAGTAAGTTAGTTATTCTTTTCAGTGGTTACTATTCCTACTTTTTAGTTGTAAATTACCCTTCATTGACCGCTTTTGTCATCTACTAGTTTGAGGTGGATTGTTTAATTAACCTTACATTGTGATAGCAATGTCTATAAAGGTCAACACAATTTATGATCTGTAAGTTTTCTATAATAAAATGTTGAGACAAATATGAATCTTAGTACACATAGAAACCATTTATACCGATATTGTTAAAGGTATTCACATCATCTGCACAAAATGTGCTTATACAATAACTGTTTATTGCAATCAGTAAATTCTTTGAAAATCAGGAAAGCTTGAAGTATATGAGCCTTAGAGCTTTGTGTCCCACTTAGGGGGCACTTACCAAAAAAAAAAAAATCTGACAATTTTATTGGGTAGAGAGGGAGAAATGGGGTTCATTATAGTGAATGGAAAGAACCACAGAGACCAGAAGGGAGTGGACATTTGAAGGAAGCCTGGGTGGCAGAAACTGGTGAAATTTCTGGTACTGAAGAAATGATGCTTGCCATGTCCTTTCAGATGTCTGTGATCTCAGGCACAGATAGTGAAGGAGCAGTTAAAAGTAAACATGTCCCAGGTACCCCACAGTGTAGTCTGGTTTGTGCACTGTGCAAAAGTGCACCGCCAAGACAGATGAGGGCTGAACTCTTGCTTTCACTGACCATAAACCCCAGTCCCAGGGAAGAGAAACCTTTCTGCAATTTATCTGCCTCTACAGTATGCCTTTTAGTGAATAATTTAAAAGGCCTATATATGCAAGTTATGGCCTTTGAAATACTCTAAAAAGTCCTGCAATCCTGCTTTTTCATTGATATACTTGCAGTTGGCCACCTCCTGCTACCAACCTTCTCTGGTTGGCATTGTCATCATTTTGAAACTTAGAGAAGAGTCTAATAATGTGCTTATACTTTTGGCAAAGTTAGAACATGAAAAGAACAGAGCCAATGTACAAAATAATGTCTTTCTTCTGTTCCCTGAAACGCCAACAGGGAAAAACTCTCTAATACTACATAATAGACAGAAGAACCCAAATCTGTGGTGAGATATCCTTTTATCCTAAGACTATTTGGGTTGAATTCAGGCAAGAAGATATCATCTGTTTATTATTAAGAATTGAAAGCTCCTTAAATTAAGCAGGTGAAAACAGAGTTACCCTCTTCAAAAATATGTAATTTTCTGAACATTTACTTCTAAATTTTACATAATCATTTATCCTTGTATCTGTCTCATTTCAACAAGTGTAATTGTCTTCAAGTAAACCCGAGTGAATAGCAAGCTATCATTAAAGATACAGATGTAAAATAATATTTAGTATGGATCCTAAAAGCTATTTATGGTGTCTTGCCTAGTAGTTATTGAGAGCGATGAGTTAACATTGCGCTATTTCACAAACACATTTTACTTAGTTGCCATATTCCTTTCAGAATTCACATTTCAAAAGTGGCAATGGTAGTATCAATGGTTACTTTTATTTGATTTACCCTGGGTGAGTGGGTAACTGTTCATTTAGTATGAGTAAAGTTCTGGATTAATGTGTCTCTGGCACATTGGTCATGATCCTACAGGGATATGTGTTTGGGAAATTCCCATGTGGAGAAATTCCCAGGTCTTATTGTTCAAATTGTACAATTTGACATGTCCATTATTTTGTTTTCAGGTGGTTTATCAGCTCACAAAAGTCCAAACTATTGTATTGCTTTTTTAAAAAGAAAAATAAAACAAACAAACAAAAAATCCCCTTACCTGTAGTCAGTGGAATTTAAATTCCTGACAGTAATGGTCATGTTCCAGAACTTGCTCCCTAAAGTTATGGATGGCAAGCATTGTTTTTCTTAGTTCTTAACATGGGTATAAGTACCTAAATACAGAAACCTTGGAGGAAAAACCATAATAGGAGGTAAACGCAGTTTTTCAAAGATCCAGAAGAAGGACGAAAAGGGAATTACAGTAAAGGCAATATTTTCTCCCATTTTTCTTCCTCAAGACAGAGTAGGGTGTGTTGTTTCATTACCTTTATTTTTTTTAAATTTAATTTTATTTACTTATGCATACAGGAACTGGCATGTGGGCCAGAGGTGCAGGGGGTGAGAGGATTCAACAGAGACAAAGTGGGGAGAAGAATAGGCAGATCTACTGAAATGCACTGCTGAGGGGAGCAGACGGTGTGAGACAGGAGAGGTCTGCTGAGCTATGTGGGTAGCTCCCTGGCTGGGGATTGAACTTGGGCTGCAGTGGCCAGCGATAGCTTGATAGTGCTGAAACTTAACCTCTTATGCCACCAGGGAGGCCCCTCACTATCTTTTGATTCCTAGCCTGGGGTCAGCATTAGTCAGTAATAAAAAGAGTAGCTAGCATTCATATACATTAACTTACCTGAGTTCTGTAATAGCCATTACTATTGAACTTATTTTTAATACAGAGAGAACACAGAGCTTAGACAGACTCATCGACTCATCCAAGGCAGCTCTTCTAGTGAGGTACAGCCTGACTCCAAACCCTGTCTCCTGACTCCAAAGTCTATGTTTTGTGTTTTATCAGCATAATCTAAAAGCAAATGGTGTCCCTTTTTTATTTAACCTCCAACAATTCAAACTGCTTTAATCGATCCCCAAATAATGGAAAATTTACTTATCTATACTGTCAGTACCACATCTATCAGTTAATTCAGAAAACTCTTGGCTGCTGTTTTTATAACCATTAAATATGAAAAGCCTGACAATACCATAACCTCCCCCAGAGAGCCAAGGTGACATTAACTTAATATCCGGTCTGGAGGTTTTTCTGTAATCTCTGCAAATTGTACATTACAGATACTTTACCTAATTTTAAGCCTTTGTCATTCTTTTAATAATCAGTTTAATTATTCTAGCATTCACATTTTTCCTTTGGATAATTGTTTCCCATCTATTGTATGTTTTCCTCTACCTCTCCACAATCTACTTTTTTAATATTCCAGTTTCTTGTGCAAAGTCCTAGTAGGGCATTCAGCATCTGAAACAAGAATCTTAGAAAACCTTATGCCTGTTTACTATTGAAAATTTTTTTAATTATACATATAAATTTCTCAACAATAATAAAAACACTTAAGGTAGAGAATCTTTTTTTTTTTGCATACTTTTTTATTTTATATATTTTTCACATCATTTTTCATTTTTATATAATGTATGCATTTTCATCATGGTTATCGCCCCTGTAAAATTCCCACCCATCCCCTTATTTTGATCCTACTCTCTTCTCCCTCCCTGTAGTGTGTCTCTGGTTTATAGTTGCCTGTTGATTTTGATTTTGATTTTATTATAATAAGTCTTTTTCCTGGTCCCTTATTTAGGTTTTCTAAATTCCTATTATGAGTGAGACCATCCAGTATTTTTCTTTTTCTTTCTGGCTTATTTCACTGAGCATGATCCCTTCCAGCTCCATCCATGTTACTGCAAATGGCATGAGTTTATCTTTTTTAATTGCTGAGTAATATTCCATCGTGTATATGTAATGCATCTTCTTGATCCAGTCATCTATTTTGGGGCATGTGTTTTGTTTCCATAGCTTACCTCTTGTAAATAGTGCTGCAATAAAGATAGGGGTGCAGGTGCCCTTTTGAATTTATGTTTCTGTGTCCTTTGAGTAAATACCTAGGAGTGGGATTGCTGGATCATATGGAAGCTCCATTTTTTAGCAGATTAAGGAACCTCCACACAGCTTTGCACAGTGGTTGGACCAGTTTGCACTCCTACCAGCAGTTGCAGGAGAGTTCCTTTTTCTCCATATCTTCATCAACATTTGTTGTTGCTAGTTTTTTTTTTTTAATACATGCCATTCTCACTGGTTTTAGATGGTATCTCATTTTAGTTTTGTTTGCATTTCCCTGATTACAAGTGATGTTGAACATTTTTTTCATATGCCTGTTGGCTATTTGCATTTCCTTTTCTTTTCTTTTTTTTTTTTTTAAAGATTTATTTATTTATTTATTTATTTATACAAGCACTGGGTACAGTCAGAAGCGCGGGAGGGTGAGAGAATTCACCAGAGCCAGAGCGGGGAGCAGAGCAGGCAGAAGGACCGAAGTACACTGCTGAGGGGAGCATCGGGTGGCAAGAGAGGTCTGCGCGCCATGCGGGACCCTCCCCCGGTGCCCGGGGAGCAGCCGGGGATTGAACCGGCGTTGCAGAGGCTGCGGGCAGCTTCGCAACCCAGCGCTCAACCACTGCGCCACCGGGGAGGCCCTGCATTTCCTTTTCAGAGAAGTTTCTTTTTAACTCCGCTGCCCATTTTTTGATTGGGATTATTTACTTTGTTTTTGTTGAGTCTTGTCAGCTCTTTGTAGATTTTTGTGATCAGTCCTTTATCATTAGTGTTGTGTGCAAAAATTTCCTCCCAATCAGTGGGGTCTCTCTTTATTTTGGTTACTGTCTCTTTAAGGCAGAGACTATTTTTACAAAGACTAAAAGTTCTAGTGACAAAAACATTTTTAAAAATGGACTTAGCAACTGGTACTTGAGGGTTTCAAATGATTAAATTATATAACAACTTGTTTTCAAGATTAAATCTGAAACCATCACCAATAGAGTATGCTGTGCCGAATATTCAGAGATTTGAAACTAACCCCACAACTAAGCTGAAAACTGGCCTGTACTTTAGTCTTGCAGA